ACTATAAAAGCTAAATAAAAAAAATATTATTTTTCGTTAATTACAACAAATAAACCGAGATACGGTGTATTTTTATCAAAACAAATATTTACTTTTTGCTATTTGGGTAATTTTTTTAATTGGATTTTTGGTCTATCAGAGTTTAACTTAAATTTGTAATAAAATATTTTGAAATTTAATAATTTGAATTATTTTCAAGTAGGTATCAAAAAAAATAAAACGAAAATAACTAATAATAATAAAAAATAACTGATAAATCGCGAAAATTCTAAATTCATTGAAATACTTAAACAAGAACTCTTTTGACAATATTATTTCGAATTTTGTAATTTTCTCAGAGGAAAATGCTCTAAATTCATTAAAATAGGAAAAATAAAACATTTCAGACTTATTTTGGACAATATATCTTTCGAGTTTTATAATTTTCTCAGAGGAAAATGCTCTAAATTCATTAAAATAAGCAGAAATAACACATTTCAGGCTTAATTTTGCAATTTTTTACCTTGTTTTCACAAAAACTTTTGGATCTTTTCAATTTGGAGTTTCACAGTAAAAAACATTCTAAATCTATCGAAATCAACAAAAATTTCGCAGGCCAGAACTAATTTTCATTTTTTCTTCCTTGTTTTAACAAAAGCTTTGGAATTTTTCTGAGTTTCTCTTGAAACACGCTGTCAATTCATTGAAGTAAGAGAAAATAACGAATTTCAGATTTGCTTTAATTTTTTTTCTTGTTTTGACAAAAAACGCACTAAATACATGGAAACATGGAAAAATAACATATTTCAAGCTTAATTTTGCAATTTTTCTTTTTTGTTTTGCAATGACTGCAAAGTTTTGTTTTTTTGCGTTTCTGAGGGTTAATCGTACAATTTTCTCATCTGTTTTAACAATTTTTTTTGGATTTTTGACTTAAAAATAAGCAAAATTGCTCAATAATGTCTGAAATAGCGAAATTCTAAACTAGAACAAGGAATTTCTGATCTATAAGCAAGTTTCTGTTTGAAAAATGTGGTAATTCAGACCTAAAACGATGATTTTTGGCCTGTTTTTAGCACAAAACACTTAAAATAAGTAAGTTTTTGGGCCTATTTAGACAAAATCTTTTAAAATAATTTAGTTTCTGTCTCAAAGCAACTGAAAAATCAAAGAACAGAAAACTATCAAGATTTCAACTCCCCCGAAATGCTAAATTGAATAAATCACACAAAAATTGTTATTTTTGAAAAACTTTTTATAAAAAGTTGTAATAACTGAAATCCGTTTCCAGAAAAGCAGTAAATTTTTTTAGTATTTTTGTGAAAAATTGCCAATTTCGATGTTAATAAAAAAATTGCGTCGATCTCACCTGATTGCCACTGAAATGTAGAGCCATCGTAATAATTTTGGTAATCACGTCACGCGATCACAATCAATACACCAATTATTTAAAAATAACAAAAACCATCTTCTAAATTCTTTGACATGTTGTTGTCAATCGATTGCCAAAAATTGATATCAACAACGCACTATTTGCCTTGGAAACGTGCGATTATTTCCAAGACAACCAACGTGCTTTCCTTGGATTTTCCCATCAATCACAATTTTCCGAGAGGATTTTCTCAAGGTGTGATGCGAAAATGGGGAAAACTCCTCCCTAGTGGAGATATTAACGCGATTTTAACAATGGAAATATTGATTGGAGGCGGTACGAAAGGGATGCTGGATGGGGATTGGTCCAGGGGTGGGTCTGGAAGCTGGGGGATGCTCAAACTCATCCCTGATATTATCGCTCAGTTGATAAGGATCGCGCGGGTACGCCGCTTTGTTCGTGGGTGGTGGTTTTTAGCAAGGTAACATTTTTGGATTCTAACCATTTCATAGAATTAAAAAAATAATTTTGTAGATTTTCTTTTTTTTAGTTATTTATTTATTGGTAACAATTTGGTTTAAAAAAAAAACATTTTTAGCTTTATTTTCATGAAAGTATGCAAAATGGGACAAAACATTTCTTTTTTGAAATTTATTGTTGTCTTTCAGATTTAAATAAATTTTTGAATTTTCAAATTAAGTTGGCAACTTTGAGTAACAGAGAGACAGAAGATATGACGCTAAATTATTCAATGTTCCAACTTAATTTTACAACACAAAAATTTGATTAAACACATAATATTTTTAGTGTCCATTTCTCATCAAAGTGGCCTGTGACTTGTAGTTTAATTGGCAATACTGAAAAATATAGAAACCAGACTTGTTTATCAAATCTTCTTGTAATTGGTTTCATTTTAAACCATAATTTGAAATTAATTATTATTTCTCAAAGTGGGTATTTTGTAGTAAATATTAAAAATTAATTAAGAAAATTGATAATTGGGCTTTATTTATTTTTTGGTAACATTTTGGTTGTATTTAAATTTTTAAAAAACGTTTGACCAAAATTTTTTGCTAAAATCATGAAAGATTTTTAAATCGATTTTTAATTCAAGTGAGCTATGATTTTGAAGTTAAGTTGGCAATATTAAATACCTGACGTGGCAAGTTCCTATTTCAACATTACTCAATGTTGCCAACTTAATTTAACTCAGATATTTAATTGAATGCACGATATTAACATTGATCAAAGTGGCCCGAAACCTTAAAATATGTTGGCAACACTAAAAAATACACAATCAACTGTCAATTTTTCGAAATTTGAAACAAAAATGGCCAAAATCAAATAATTAATGACCTAAATCTCTTACATTGTCTCAATTTACTCAGCAAACTTGATTTACAAGTCACTAAAAATAACTAAAATGAGAAATAAAATTCCCTGTCTCTATATGACTCAATGTTGCCAACTTAATCTCAAAATCGCAGGCCACAGACGTTGAAATTAAATTGGCATAGAATAAATTGAGTTGGCAAGTTTGAATAATAAACAGTGACTCTGCTTTATTCAATGTTGGCACTAATCCAAAATTTATGGTATTTTTAAAGTGCATTTTTTTCATGAAACTATGCAAAATGGGACAAAATATTTCTTTTTTGAAGTTTATTGTTGTCTTTCGGATTTAATTAAATTTTTGAATTTTGAAATGAAGTTGGCAACTTGGAGTAACAGAGAGGCAGAAGATATGACCATACATTATTCAATGTTGCCAACTTAATTTTACAACCACAGGCCACTTAAATCAAAAATTTGATTAAACACATAATATTTTTAGTGTCCATTTCTCATCAAAGTGGCCTGTGACTTGTAGTTTAATTGGCAATACTGAAAAATATAGAAACCAGACTTGTTTATCAAATCTTCT